TGGAGGACATTATCAATTATACATATTAGCCACTGAACAGTGGGTGGCTTGGCAGTGAGTATACCAACATCAGATGGTAACTATACAGGAATGTTTTGCTTCTCAATTTATCAAATGCCATACTTCTACTTGGAGTTCTTGCCACTTGTGTCCTTCCATAGCCATTTATAGCTATCACTCATCTAAACTACTCTATGCCACAATAAGGCTTTTATTTTCAAGACTATTAAATGTTCATTGACTGTTAAATGTAGTGCTTTTCTGTAAGATCTTTAGCTGGTATCTAATTCTGATTATTTGGTCTGACTAGGACGAGCCTATTCAAGAACTCTACAACAAGCAGCCATCCCCTTACTTCCCAAGAGGTTTTGTGAAGAACGTTACAAGGGCCGGTTTACAGGAAGGATGCTTTGCGCTGGAAATCTACATGAACACAAACGTGTGGACAGCTGCCAGGGTGACAGTGGAGGACCACTCATGTGTGTTCGGTCAGGAGAGAGTTGGGTTGTGTATGGGGTGACCTCCTGGGGGTATGGCTGTGGAGTCAAGGATTCACCTGGTGTCTATACCAAAGTCTCGGCCTTTGTACCTTGGATAAAAAGTGTCACCAAATTGTAATTCTTCATGAAAACTTGAAGAGAAAAATGTTGGAAAATTTTCAGCCTCCACATTAGCACTCAGCCAGAGATGCCAACTAATGGGGATGAGAGCCATGTTCCTTCTTTTGTGTTGTGATTAAATCATGTGCACCATTGCTGCTTGAGAATTTGTGATGTGAACATTCTAATACCTCAGTGTAGTACTAATTATCCTTAATTAGCATTGTGGCCCACCCCAAAACTACTCAAAAATCTTTATTAGCATTCTCCAGACATGACTGTGTATCAATTGTGCAGTAAGGCTGTTTTTACATTCATTTGGATGGAGAGCTTGTAACTCAATCAATACTCTAGAAGAGTCAAAGTAAGAGTGGCATTGTTTAATTAAGCTCAATTTTCTCCAAAAGGCTAAGACATCTTCACACATTGAATCTCTGTAGCCTTTGACAAGTAAGGAAATCAAGGGCCAAAAAGGTGGAGAAATTCCATTATAAACCTAGACTAGAATAGGGTCAGTGACCATACACGTTCCTGAATGAAGCCTTTGTACTATGCATTATGACAACACATTCTAGCTACCTAGAAATTTTGGAAGAATTCCTGATAAGAATGCCTTTAAACTGTTGGATGTACAAACTAATTTATCCACCTTATTTGTTAACATCGTCTAGCAATAACTTCTAGCTACTTCAGATTTACAGCTTGATAAAAATTTTCCTTGGCATCATGTTGTTTGCTGGACCATGACTTAAGTCAGAGTGCCATCTATTGCAACTTTCTTGTAATGACTAAAACCTGTAGATTTCCACTATCCTGACAGTCCCAGCTAATAAAAATACTGTTAAAAATGCTTTCTATGCTTATATAGTGGGAAAAAGCTCTAAAATAACTTACTTGTTTCAACCGCTTTAATTAATACACCAGCTATGTGCTAGGCACTGCTCAAAGTGGGTATGGCCCTCAGTAACCATTTAAAAAAGGGTGGCAATGTTGTATAGTATCCTTAGCTTTCGAATAGTCAAACAGGCTCAGAGGCCAAGGTGAGACAGTGGGATCTAAACTTCTGGAGTCTCAGTGCTGACTGAGTTATTTTCAGCCTCCATTGCTGACTAAAGGCAAGCTTTCCCTATGGCTATTTCTCAACACAATTTAGGGACAGCTGCTTTACACTATGCACCCTTTCAGGACATTCTTGATAGCAATGCAAAATCTTTGCCCAAACAAAAAAGGCATGCCTCTCAGGCTACTTAAGTAATCACAAGACAATGACTGCTAATATCAAGGGCCCTTTGGGTGTTTTTAAACAGTTTTTGTATATCCATCCAAGAAATAGATGCATAAAAACAGGTGAAGGCAGTGTGAACTTTAGGATTAAATCAGGTTAAGTGGTTATATCAACATGGAGGGGACCTCACCCCTTTCCCTTCTGCATCTATTTGTGCCCCTTTTGTAAATCCTCAGCTTTGTAAAAAACTGGTGCTAATGTAAAGGTGCTTTATATAATAGTTCACTATTTTGCAGAATTGCAATGCTATGTCAGGCAGAGTAACATTAAAACTTTTGTAAAAGCTCAAGGTTTTCATAAAGGAAGAACTTTTCAAGCATTTACGTCTAGTGACGATAGTGGTGGAGACAGTGCACACTTGCACAAGGGCTGAAAAATGTGCAATACAGGAGAGAAAATTTATCTTTACGGAAACTTCGCACAGGCCACCTTTATAATTATAGTGCTGATGCAAGCTACATTTATACTGAAATTTTAAGTCAATCGGGAAACTACTTGGTTCATAAAATATGCCTTGATTATAGCTAATTTTTTTCTTGTTAAATGTTGTGTGACTTTTAAAAGACACAAGTGTTCAGTGCACATCTGTGTGAATAAAGTGCTTAGCTGTTCACCTCTTATAGTAGCCTTAATCTTTTGTGTGGTATTTTATGACAAGAGACAGAGACCACCTTAGACCACTGAGGTCTAATTATAGGAGTCTTTATTACCTGCCGGGACTGCACAGTTAACAGAGAACTGTAAATGTGTGGCCCCCAGTCTAAGGGCTCAGGGCTTTTTATATTGAGCAAGCAGGCAAGCGGGAAGCTTGAATTGAGCAGTATGATTGGTTATTGCAAAACGCTACAAGGTGATAAGGAGAGAGCCCTTATCCTGGTATGCAGGGAAAACATTCCTCATTTTGAAGGCAAGGTTCAGGATTGTAGGGAAGTTTTAAGGGAACAGCCATTATCTCGAGGACAAAGTATGTAAACTGTGTCATAAGCAACCAGGAGACATCAACCCTTGCTCTTATTTTTTCCTTGCACCGGTGGATAGTTATGCAGCCCCCTGAGTGCAGGCCCCGAAGGTAAACTCTGGGCCAAGATGGAAGGACTGAAGCTAAATTCATGTGCAACATTCCCCACTGGCTTTAGGTGGGGAAATCATGGACTCCTCATCCCAGTTGAGACTGCTGTAGAAGACCTTAAGACCATCATCTTAATGGAGTTTATTCTTTTTCTTACAAAGTTGAGTAGCCAATTTATGAGGCTTGGGCAGATTAGGAGGCCCAGGAGCAAGAGCACTAAGGGACCTGTAACAGCTGAGGGGAGAGTTGTTAACCAGGGAGACCATGAGAATAAAGACTGATACCAACTTTCACCCTGCTGTGGGAATTTTTAACCAGGGCCAAGTTTTCTGATTGCTCCAGAATTTGTATAAAACAGGCATTTTCCAGTATGGCATAAAGGTCTCCTTGTTTTATTTAAGAACAGGAGGTCCAGCCTTGTTGGTTCTGGAAGACAACTTCAGCTAGGGAGTGAACCTGTATTTCAAGCTTAGTAATAGAAGCTTCCATTAGACTGAGGTCCTTGTTCATCTGTTTGCTGAGGGTTTAAAACTTTGGTCCACAACTATTAAGGAAGCTGTCCCGATAGCTAGAGTCAGCATTACCAGCCCCCACCTAAATGGGTACTAAGGCCAGGGGTCATTCCAAAACGACATGTGGGGCATTATAAGGACTACAAAGTATAAGACATTCCAGTCCTCATTAGTGAAGAGTGGGCCTGCGGTACAAGGAGTAAGTAAGGTCAGTGGTACAAGCAGACCAGGTAGTGTCAGGTGTCACGAAATACACATTTTGAGAGGCACTTACGAGTAGAACAGAGCTACAGGAATCTTTATAGGCTGAGGTGCCCAAGGAGTAGCTTGGAGAGGCCAAGCAAGTTCCTTGTCCTTGTTGGTCGCCCAAGGTTAGTTTGGGCTGGGTTCCCCATTTGCGGGAGGCTGTTATTTGTGGGGCCCCCAGGGCTACTTGTTGAAGTCTCATTATTATTTCCCAAGGAGATGTTAGCTCCAATGCTGACATAGGGGGCCTAGGGTTGAGACTGAGTCAACAGTCAGGTCTGGGTTTGATCATTTAGGAAGTCATATGTGGCCTCAATGAGGTTTAACAGGGGATCAAGTTACTGTGGGAGGCACTAATTGGGCTGGAGAATGGGCAGACAGGAATCCGGTGACAGAGGAGGGGAAGGAGTACTTACTGGAGCTGTTGATTTAGGCTGTGGTTGGTTTGTGCTGAATTGTAAACAGGGTCCCGGGGTTGTATCTGGTCACATAGAGACCCCAAATTTTTTCCGTGTCCCATGGTTTTTTTTCTACAAACCCCACCCAACTGGGTTTTAATAGTTATGTTGATTGAGGCTGTTAGAGGTAGTGTTGTTTTTTTGACCTCTATGAATACGTCCCCTTTAACCCAATCTACTGCGGTTTCACATCCCCATCAGGCACAGCGAAATTGCCCCCTTTTCTGACAGACATTTGCCCCAGTGGCTGGGCAGACATAGAACTGCCATCTTTTCCAAAGCTGTGGTTGTTTAACCTACGATTTATCCATCCTGGGCATGGGTCCGAGGTTAAGGACCCATGGGTATTATCAGCCAAAAGTTGGCAAAGTTCGACTGTAAAGGTAGGCTGTGTCTGTAGTCATAGACTGTAGGACCTTCCCGGAATCTCTGAGTTTAAGTTCCCAAATATGAGGTACTGGAATGTGAGGGTTTACAACAAGTGAATAGCAACAAGGCAAATAATGAATTAAAAAGCAGAGCATAGAAGTCTTAGCCGGGCATTTGGGGACAGTCTCGTAGTCCTTTGAGTGCAGGCCCAGAAGGTAAACCCTGGGCCAAGATAGAAGGACTGAGACTAAACTCATGTGCAACAATGTCAAATGACTGCTGTCCCTTAGGAGTAATGTGGTTTTACATGTTGCTCCCCCTACCAAGTACTGTAATGTTTTACAATACTCATTCACAACACCTCCATACCAGCTCCACTACCAGAAGCAGGTGGTTTGCTACCTATTATTTGTAACTACCTTAACACTTCCTTCTCATTTAGTCATAGAAAATGACTTTTTTTCAGATGAATCGAGCCATTTTATTTAATTATAGTAAGCAAGCACACACTTATTGTCTTCTTATGCCCAAGTAATATTCTGGCCTATATGGGAGACCACCACCCCAGATTATTTTCCATTCGATATGCAAGAAGTTGAGATTTAAAAATCACGTTCGGCAGCACACCACCAGATTCGAAATAAACAGGATTTCACCCGTATCATTTTGAATTTCTTCATCATCTGCAAGAGAAGAAAACCAGCTTTATAATCTGATGTGTGTGTACTAAGTCACAGTGCTGAAATCTTAGCAACTTCAGTTACTTTCTAGTTAGTTGGCTATTCTTCCAAATTACCAAGTAACAGCAAACTGGGTCAATTCTGGTCTTCCCATTCCTTAGCACTAAGGATTCCGTATTAATGACAAAATATGAATAAAACGGAACGTACCTGGTCAGGTTTTCTGTCATCCACTGGAACGGTTAGTTCAGCTTCCTAAAAACATTTAAGCAACAGTTAGATGCGTGCCCAATAACCTAGCACCCTCCAGGTTTTCAAGTGATGAATGTTACTTGTGCAAGTCAGAATCTGATACCAATTAAATGGTGACAGCTTTGCCAATAAACAAGAATATGCTCTTCCATGGCTAGGAAGGGAGACTGCCACGGCTGACAGGTCCCAAAGATACATGGAGATTTACAATCCCAGAACTTATAAGCAAGCAACACTACAGATATTACTCACTTTCTCGGATCTAAATGTGGCGGGTATCAGGACTCGGTGTTACTACTTTAACAGTGGCGGAGTAGATTCAAGATGGCCACTTGACACCGACAGCCGAATTCGCGACCTTTGCTGGTCATCAGGTGCACGATCGAATGCCTTGCTGTAGAGCCCAAAACCATGCGCGCTCGGCTTCCGACTCAGCGCCCTGGGTGGCACGTGGCCGCCGCGTGACCAAAAGAATACCTCAGGTTTTCGAACCTAGAGGTTTCACAGCTGTCGCTGACCGATCACTACAAGACTCCTGAATCTCATGCATTTTAACTAGGCCGAAAAGTTCTGCCTCAATCACCATCTTAGTGCACAAAACACGACAGCGCACCTCAACCACGTAACCTAAACCCGACGCTTCCCGGATGTAAAAGGCCGAGCACTTGGGCGCAAGCTGTCTTATAGAGCTGGTGACGCTATTCCGGGAAGTGCCGCGAGGGGCGGGCCCACACAGCTTTTCCCTCCGCTCTGCCCTTCCCAGCCCCTCCGCCGTTCCACCCCTTCCCGACGCCCCCTAGCTCCTCAGCGTTTGCTCCACCTCCCCCGCCCACCGTCTGGGCGGGGCGGTTCATCCCGCCCTCGATTCTGACGCACGCGCATACAGGAGTCAGAAAGTTCTCGCGAGATCAGGAAATCCTGACGCTGGTTTTTGTCTTCTTGACCCGGGAGGTGAAAAGCTTTTGTTTCCTGTTTGCTTTAAGGATAGTTAGAGGTTGCCCTTGTTACCGAAACGCCAGGTTAGCTAAATCCTCAGCTTTTAAACCACTAGGTAGGTTAATATATATGGAACTAGCTGATTTTTCTGTCTATTAATGATCGGAGACTTAGGTTTTCAGCTGGAGTTGCTGTTCCTGAAGCACAGTTATCAGTGTTTTGCAAGGGTTTTTGTTTGGAGGTTTTGGGGTGTATTTTGGCGGCGACGGGGGAGGGTGTCTAATCTCTTAGGGGTATTTACACTCATTACTGAAAGCCTAGCCAAAAGACTGTGTATATACAAGAATAGAAAAAGTAAAGGACGTTAGCCTGAAGTCTATGGGAGGCCCACTTAACGAGTATGTCTGAACATTTCCCGTGTTGCAGACTGACCCACAGTCTGTTGTCCGTATTGGCCGCAGCTGGATGACTCTTAAAAGCATTATGTCTGCTCTTACCTCCCTACTGTGCGTTTCTTTGAGGGCGCAATTATAGAAATAATCGAATTAACCCTTGTAAAGTGCAATTAAACATATTTAGGAAAACATTTAGTTCTAGACACGTGCTTATTAAATGCTATTAAATTTATTTTCAGTTTCCCCTTGTTATTGTCCTCTGATATGAAACAAAAGGGAGGTTTTACTTAGTAGCGGACTATTTGGGAAGGTATGTTGTGGCAATTGCTGTCAGGAAAAACGGTATCAAAAATTTATTCCCCAGAATAAGTTGGGGAATAAAGTGCCACATAAGAGATCTACAGAAGCCTCATGAAATCTTTACGTACTGTTCTGGGGGGAAATAGTTTATTAGAGCAAACATTCCTATTATGATTAGAACGACCAGCTTATAGGAAATGAATTTTAATTAGAAAAAGCTAAAGTTGTTTCTGAGGCTCACCTTTCACCCTATGTTTTTCTGACTTCATCTTCATCTCACTAATGAACGAAAAAGTGCTATTCTGTAACAAGAGGTAAATACCAAAGCACAGCGGAGAGTTTTGCTTAATTAGATTTCATGTCGAATCTGTAGCCACCTGTATTACTTTGCAAAGGCTGTCCGAAGAAAATGCCACAGGTTGGGTGGCTTACTACAAATTTATTTTCTCACAATTCTGGAGACTAAACTCTGAGATCCAGGTGCTCACCGGTTTGTTTTTAGACCTTCGATGGCCTATAGATGGCCCTCTTTTCCCAGTATCTTCACATCTTTAACTTCCGTACCTGTTTGTATCCCAGTCTCTGAAAAGGACACCAGTCATCTTGGATTAAGGCCTGTGTTAATGACTTAACCTTAATTGCCACTTAAAAGATCCTGTCTCCAAATATTATCATATTCTAAGTTATTGGCTGTTAGGATTTCAACATATGAATTTTGGGTGACACAGTCCAGCCCATACGACCAGCCACTTATGGTAAGCTATAAAGGTACATTGAAGTTTTAAAAGCTATGTTTCCATTGGGCTAAGGAGTAAAAACACCTGAGACAAAGAGTGAAGAGTCTCTGCTCCCATATTTTAGGTTCTTTTCTCCATCTTATATTCCTTCCCATCTATTTCCCATCTAGTTTTTTTCTTTTATTTAAAATTGAGGTATAATAACATATTAGTTTCAGGTAAACAACATCATGATTTGATACTTGTATATATTACTAAATGATCACCACATTAATCGAGTTAATCCCTATCCCCATAAATAGTTATTAAGATTTTTCTTGTGCTGAAGATTTTTAAGATTTTACTCTCTTAAGGGAGCCTGGCTGGCTCATTTGGTGAAGTGTGGCTTCTTGAGCTCAGGGTTGTAAGTTCAGTCACCACATTGGTGTAGACATTACTTTGAAATATTAAAAGAAAAAAAAGATTTACTCTCTTAGCAACTTTAAAATATGTAAAAGTATTATTAACTGTACTCCCCATGCTGTACATTACATTCCCTTATTTATTTTATAACTAGTCTGTTGTACCTTTTGACTCCCTTTACGCATTTTAGCTACCCGTTCAACCCACCGCCTCTAGCAAGCCCCCGTCTATTTTCTGTATCAATTAACTTGGTGTTTTTGTTTTTGTCTGTAGATTCCACATATAAGTGAGATCATATGACATTTGTCTTTCTGTGACTTATTTCACTTAATATAATGCATATGGTACATCCATAATGTCAACAAATGGCAAGGTGTCATTTGTTTTTATGGATGAGTAGTATTCCATTATATGTATGTACATCCACATCTTTAGCTATTCATCCATTGATGAATACTTAAGTTGTTTCCATATTTTGGCTGTTGAAAATAATGCTGCAATGACAATGGGGCTGCATGTATCTTTCTGAATTAGTGTTCTTGTTTTCTTCATATAAATACCCAGAAGTAGATTGCTGGGTCATATGGTAATTCCATTTTCAATTTTTTGAGGAACCTCCTTACTGTTTTATACAATGGCTGGACCAATTTACATTCTCATTAACGGTGCATAGGGTTTTCCTTACTCTGTATCCTTGCCAACCCTTGTTATTTCTTGTTTATTTTTTNTCATATGGTAATTCCATTTTCAATTTTTTGAGGAACCTCCTTACTGTTTTATACAATGGCTGGACCAATTTACATTCTCATTAACGGTGCATAGGGGTTTCCTTACTCTGTATTCCTGCCAACCCTTGGTTATTTCTTTTTTTTTTTTTTTTTGTTTTTTTTTTTTTTTGATACCATTCTGACTGGGGTGAGGTGATATCTCATTGTGATTTTGATTAGCATTTCCCTGATTAGTGATGTGGGGATCTTTTCATGTGTGTGTTGGCTATATCTGTATCTTCTTTGGAAACATGTCTATTCACATCCTCTGCCCTTTTTTTAATTGCATTGTTTAATGTTTTGCTTGAGTCATATGAGTTCTTTATGTATTTTGGATATTAACCCCTTATTAGAAACATGACTTACAAATATTTTCTCCTATTCAGTAGATCGACTTCATTTTGTTGAAAATTTCCTTTGCTACAAAGAAGCTTTTTAGTTTGATGTAGTCCCATTTGTTTACTTTTGGAGTCAGATCTAAAGAATCATCACCATGATCAATGTCAAAGATCTTACTGCTTATGTTTTTTTCCTAGGAATTTTATGGTTTCAGGCTTACATTCAAGTCTTTAATCCACTTTGACTTCATTTTTTGTGTATGGTATAAGATAGTAATCCAGTGTCATTCTTTTGCATGTGACTGTCTAGTTTTCCCAGCACCATTTATTTAAGTCTGTCCTCTCCCCATTGTACATTCTTGGCTCCATTGTTGTAAGTTAACTGACCATATATGCATGGGTTTATTTCTGGTCTCACTATTCTGTACCATTGATCAATGTGTCTGTTTTTATGCCAGTATCATACTGTTTTAATTACTGTAGCTTTGTGGGGCATGTGGATGACTCAGTTGGTTAAGCATCCGATTCTTGATTTCAGTTCACGTTATATCTGAAGGTTTGTGAGATTGAGCCCCACACTGGGGGCTTGGGATTCTCTCTCTCCCTCTCTCTCTGCTCCTCCCCTACTTGTGCTCTCTCTTTCTTTCTCAAATAAACTCTAAAATAATAATTACTATAGCTTTGTAATAATACGGTTATCAACCAGGAAGCACACTAGCTCCACCTTTGTTTTTCTTTTTTTCTAAGTTTATTTATTTATTTTGAGAGACAGTGTGGGAGGGGCAGAGAGAGGGAGAGAGAGAATCCCAAGCAGTCTCTGCACTGTTAGTTCAGAGCCTGATGCAGGGCTCAAACCTACAAACAGGTCATGACCTGAGTCCGCATCAAGAGTTGGACACTTAACTGAGCCACCTAGGTGCCCCTTTGTTCTTCTTTCTCAAGATTATTTTGGCTGTTTGGAGTCTTTTGTCGTTTCATGTAAATTTTATTATTGTTTGCTTTATTTCTGTGAAAAATGCCATTGGAATTTTGACAGGGGTTGTATTGAATTTGTAGATTGCTTTGCATAGTGTGGACATTTAAACAGTATTCGTCCAGATGTTCCATTATTTATATGATCTTCAATTTCTTTCATCAGTGTTTTATAGTTTTTAGTATACAAGTTTTTCACTTTCCTCATTAAAATTTGTTTCTAAGTATTTTTTGATGCAATTGTAAGTAGAAGTGTTTCTTACATTATAAAAAAATGGAAGCATATTAGAGTTTATATCGTGATTTTGTATCCTGCTACTTTACTGAAATTCATTTATTCTAACTGTTTTTGGGTGGAGTCATTTGATTTTCTATATGTCATATGCAAATAGTGACAGTTTTACTTTTTCCTTTTCAGTTTGGATGCTTTTTATTTCTTTTTTTTACCTAATTACTTTCGATAGACTTCCAGTACTATGTTGAATAAAAGTGGTGGGAGCATCCTTTCTTGTTCCTGATCTTAGAGGAAGAGCTTTTACCTTTTTACCATTGAATATGATATTAACTGTGGGCTTCTCATGTTTGGCCTTTACTGTGTTCAAGTATGTTCCCTCCTGCTATACCTACTTCCCACTTTGTTCAGTTTTTAGTCATAAATGAATGTTGAATTTGCATAAATTTTCATGTGTCAAAATACTACTCTGCTTTGACTGCTTTGATTGAACATACTTGTTCTGTGAAACTTTTCATTACTCTGAATTTGCTTTCCCTTTTTGACACACTATATTACTTGGATTTTTCTTGTGGTATCTTAAAGTCCT